GGTTTACGGGTTTCTACTTGAACTAAACCAAGATGCAGTAAGGGTCATTATCGAAAGCAGGGAAGATGTGTGGAAGAACAAAGATCTCAGTTCTTTAGTTGATGTCTACTTCCAAAGTACCTCCAAGACCTTAGATTTCTGCAATACCGTCGAGAATTGCGTCAAGAAAGCAGAGATTAGCCAGCTTATCATCCGATACGCGGTCAAACAGTTCGAGGCAGAATCTGTCGAAACCGGTCTAGGAGGAAATAAAAAGAAGAAGTATGCAAAAACCTTGGAGGAGCTGAACAAGTTTAAAGCCATGGGAGATCCTTTTGATGGCGAGTTCGTGACTCAGTATGATTCGGTCTACGAGCAGCAGGTTTTGCTTCTGGAGGAGTTGCGTAAGCAGAAAGTAAAGCTTGATAAGAAAAAGAGGAATGCAAAGACATGGAGGACATTGTCGAATGTGGTTTTCGCGACTGCGTTTGTCTCTGTGCTTGTCTTATCAGTGGTTGCAGCCGCAATGAGCGCACCACCAGTAGCGAGTGCGGTTGCGGCTGGATTGACCGCACCGATTGAGGTTGCAGGAAAATGGTGTAGCGAGATGTGGAAAAAGTACGAGAAGGCTGTGAAGAGACAGAGAGGTTTGGTTTTATCTATGGAGATTAGTGCGAAAGTTAACAATGTAGCGATGGAAAATATAAGAGTGGAAGTTGATAAACTGAGAATTAGATTCTCATCGATTCTGGAGACAGTGGAATTCGCTGTGGAGAGGGAAGAGGAAGAAGTGGCGACGAGGCTTGCAATGCAAGAAATCAAGAAGAAAGTAGATGGGTTCGCTGAGAAAGTCGAGCAAGTTGGTGAAAATGCAGCCAAATGTAGCAAACTCATTGCTCTGGGGAGACTTCTAGTCCTGGAACACATCCTCAAGTTACCCGCCAATTCAGTCTCATAGAGCGTGTGCTTCTGTAGAACAACCTTTAAAGACATCTATTTGTTCTTAAGCGTTGATCACTTAAGACTCGGGCTTTTAAGGTGGGCTTTTATCAGTAGTTATGGGCCTTTAAGTTAAGCTTTTCATAGTATTGCCTATTTTGAAAGGCCTGGGTTTTTAAAATAAATATGTGTTAAATACAATTGTACATTATACATTTTAAAAATGATGCTGTACAAAGAAATGTTCGATACAAGTAAATTATCCACCTAATATATAATTCACTATCATACGTTTAGTCGACTGTATAAACTAAAACATTAATAATAGCATGTGCAATTGTGCACGTGGTGATATTTTGTAAAATTTCAGATTACAAGTAGTGGTTTTGAATTTGATTAAACACATGTCAGATGAATCTACACCAAGTGTTGATTTTGGATAATGGGCGTTAAATGGAAAAGAAAAAAGGAGTTTACGTTTGGGGAAACATTGTGGGTTTTACAAATTACAAACATAGCAGTCAGGAAAATATAGGTTTCTAGGAAGGGAAAATAGGAATATCTTTGGAATGGTTTTTACCCGCCTGAAAAGAATAGGTTAAATTAACGGTCAAGAAAATTCATTGAAATTAACGGTCAAAAAAAGGGGAGTGGGAGGAATGGAGGATGAATAAAAACAGTAAAGCTTAATTCAACTGGGGAAGGTAGCTTCGTAAAAAGAATCATCTTATTATTTTATTTGATTTATTATTACAAAAACAACCAAAAGAAACGACCCCACACGAAATTTAAGTAGTTGGACCCTCTCGTGAGTTTGGTGGTAAACAAAGAAACCCTCCTTAGATATCAACTCCCCAACACTCTCTCACACATACTCATCGATTTCAAAGCCTCTCTTGCATTTACGTGGCGATTCGTTTACGTGTGTCCTCCTCACTCATTTATTATTTACTCAACCTCCTCCTTTTTTCTTTCATTCGTTAATTGAGATTCTCAAAACGCAAGATTCTACGTACTTACGTCTGTTTTCCGTTAAAATGAACAAAGTTTGTCTTTTCTTGCAGATGATATATATGTTATAACAGAACCCAAGTACCCAACTATCGATTGTGTTATAACAACGTTTTGAATCTTGAAACCGAATAATATAATTTACATTTCAATGAGACACAACTAAATATTAAAAAATATTCTATGTATATATCTTCAAAAAACGGATGATCATCCTCTTCCACTCAGAATTTTTTGTAAGTTGTGACAAGTGCAGATTCTCGAACATTACGTTGTTGCATTACGAATCGGTCTCGTGTCTTCGTAATCCAGTACTGGAATATTCCTCCTTGGCTTGTTATTTGAAAAAGAACTCTATCTAATAAACCCACCGAATTTTACTTTTTTAAATAACAAAACAATATAGAGATGATGCTTGCACTTATCTGAATCTACGTGTTATGGAACACCACATTTTGAAAGATAATACACTTTTATATCAGAAACCCGTTTTAGAGTATTGACAATTTCATCTAATTAAAAAAGATTTCTTGACGAATTAGTAGTATGGGAGAACATTTTTAGCAATATTAATTTCTAAACTAATAAACAAAAATGGAAAGCAGAGTGGAGGAAGATGATTGGTTTCGCAGGACTTCGCGTGTTAACAAGATTTTCTCAAAAGATCGGACGGCAATGCGTGGCGAGTCGCTTATGACGTCGGAAGCTTAGCTTGCCACGTGTACGATCATCAGCGCCAGCTGACCGATATAATGCTATTCCCGTGACATGGCGAGCTAATCCCAATTTATCGTGCTCCTATGTCTCATGGGAGAAATTACTTCATTGGTTGCCCAAACCAAAAACATGTTTATTTTTCTTTTCATCTAATTATTTCGAGTTGATGTGAAATATAATAATAGTATAATAATATTACTATTATACATGTTTTAAAAATGTGAATAAAACCCTTTCTTTGTCAATGATCTATGGTTTTTTTATACATCAGATATGTCTATTGAGTGTATTCACATTCACACTAATGAGTAAACAAAATGCATTATTGCACTAATACGTTCTGTCTATACGTTTTTAATTTTTTTTTTTGTCAACCATATCCATATGCGCTAATGAGCTTCGTTAATTAATACAGTATTTTATATTTAATTGTTAGCTGTATCATAACTGACGTTTTAAATAGTTTAATAAGATGAGAACTGAGAAAGAGATAAGCAACGCAACGCCTATGTGTAATTCTCGTATTAATATATCGTGATAAGATGCTGTTTCTTGGGAGCTTCTCGTTTGTTGCGTCGTTGCTCTGAACCAACGCCAATATAAAAGGCAGCTCAAGTCTTCAGTTTTAATCTCGGACCAACATACAAAGCGTGTTCTGTTCTGTCTCTCCCACAAGAACAATCCTGTTTTTCTTTTCTTCTTTCTAACGTAGCTGTAGATATCGCCGATGGCGTCGAAGAAATCCCTAGTTCGAAATCTCTTCAACATTTCCAAAACTTATTCCCGGATTTCGGGTCTTACCCGAATGCGTCCCACCAAACCCGGCATTACCCCGGACGCCGGAGATTCTGGAATCCGCCGGAGGTTTCTTCACAAGAGGGCATTTTTCTCGCCGGAGATAGTTCCAAGAGGGGGTAGTCTGATGGAGAAACTCAGGGAAATGAGTTTGTCGAATAATCGAATTCGGCTTGACGAGATGTTACCGCCACCGACGCCGGAGAAGACATATCCGGGAGGTTTCCCGGCGGTTACGGTGGAGGACGTGAAGAAGCTTATGAGAGCAGCTGAAATGGAGATGGTGAAATCAAGGCTGAGAGAGATTGGGAAAAATTGGGTTCCGTATACTGAGTTTGTTCGGGTATGCGGAGAAAGCAGTTCGGATCCTGAACAAGGTAACCGGGTCGCGAATATGCTTGATGAAGCTGGAAACGTCATCGTTTTGGGAAACTTCGTCTGCCTTAAGCCAGAAGAGGTAAATTATAATCATGCATGCACATAATTTACAATGAAGCTGTTGTTAACTCAATTTAAAATCTAATGTTTTTTCCCTCTTCTTGATTATAGCTAACAAGCGCCGTGGCTGGTCTAATTCCGACACACGAACCCTCTGGCGACGCCGCGACAAGACAAGAGTTCGAACAACTTGAGATAATAAAATCAGACATCGACAAAAGAGCCGATGATTTGGTACGGCGAGAATTATGGGCCGGATTAAGCCTACTTACGGCCCAAACAATTGGATTTTTTAGGCTGACTTTTTGGGAACTGTCGTGGGACGTGATGGAGCCCATATGTTTCTACGTAACTTCGACTTATTTCATGGCTGGTTACGCCTTCTTCCTCCGAACCTCAAAGGAACCTTCCTTCGAAGGTTTTTACAAAAGCCGGTTCGAGACGAAGCAGAAAAAGTTAATTAAAATGCTCGATTTCGATATCGATCGTTTTACCAAACTACAGAAGATGCATCGTTCAGACTTTACTAAATCCGGTCGCTCTTGATCGTAACCTTTTTTTTTTGTTTTACTAAATCGGATACTAATTACTAATTGTATAAACGTCGAGAAGTCCCATAGTTAATAAATTAAATTTAGAGAGGTCATAAAAGTTACATTTCAAGCTTTGAGATTCCTTTGGTGTAATGGAATGATGTAACACTAATTAAAAAACTAATCATTTATGAGTGAACTATCACTAACCTAACAATTTAAAACTGGATATTTTCTTCAAAATTTGGTGTGTGTAATTAGCTAACTTTTCTAATGAAATAAATGTTCGAATAGCCGTGTGGTTGTAGATAGCCAACTTTATAAAAAAGGCTTCAAATGAATAGAGAGATACGTAATAGAAAATTTGTTCACACGTTGTGTACCACGCTAAGAGAAAAAGTATTTGTTACAAAACTAAAAAGTGTGGACAATGAAATCTGGAATCACTAGGAGTTGTAGGGTATTATTCATAAAGAAGTTTCCAAGTATAGATTCTATAGTAGGAAGAATATTACGAAACGAGAACTAAAAATTGTCTAAAATTAAGTTACTACTATAAGAAGAACAAAACTTAAAGGCTACTTCCCCTATGAAAATCTGGTGTGCTTAGTAGTGATATCAAAATTCACAAAAAGATGGCACGATGTAGTAGTTACATGATCAATCAAAAATTCAAGCCAACGAACAATGTATTTGTTTAAAGCTGACACAGAGAGGATGACAACAAGAACAATAGAAAAGGCCAAAAAACAGTGTTCACACCAAAAAAGGAAAACGTGCGTCTGAATGTATATACGTATAGGGCTATATGTGTATATTATTGGTACTATAAATGGCTGATTCAAAACTTTGAACCTGGTGGAGCACTCTTGGAAGCGGTAACGATGTCTTTGAGTGTATCCTTAAGGCTGTCATGATTAGAGAGCATCATCTTCTTAACTTTCCTGAAACCGTCACCGTAGACTGGTGATTCATCTGTTTCTATCTGATGCTTGCAAAACTCCACGAGCCTCTTCTCGAAATCAGATTGGTCACCTAACTTCTTTGATGTGGTTGCAGCCAGAGGAGTGCGGGAAGAAGAAGAAGAAGAAGCCGATGATGGATCTGCTGCATCAGGAGTTGCGTATATCTGAGGCTCCAACCACATGTGGCCTAGCATTTGGCATAATCCTTCTTCGAGAACCATGTTAAGATTCCTATAACCTGTGATCAAAACCAAATGAAAAAATAGGTCTGAGACCTCTCCACGATCCTCATTGCTAGCTAGTACAGATTTGACCATTACATACCGTTGAGTCTAAGCCACGCATGCATCATCTCATGAGCCAAGATATATCCTGTTAAGAACCTGTGTGTGAAGACAGACTTGATTTAGTCTCTATATAGAAGGATGAGATGAGCTTAAATAGTTTACATATAACGGTACCTGGGGAGTCCATATAAGATGAGAATGGCGGTGACCTCGCACTTGCGGGAAACCCTATGAGACTCTGTAACAGTGTCTATAATCAGTTGCTTGTTTGGCCCCATCCTTGGCCCTTTTGTGACCTGTATGTGGAACAGAGTTAGATTCAGTTCTAGTTTGATCAGTCTCTTAAAGTATCATGATGTTGATCTTAATTAATTAACACTCTTACACTTGTGACCATCTGCTCTTCAGACAAGCAAATGCCTCTGGTAACCCTCTCATACAGATTTTCCTGCTCGATCGTGTTGAAACTTACAACACATATGAGTGAAAGAAAGAGAGAGAGAGAGGTAAAGAGGAAATATAATGACAACCTTCTCTTGCTCCTCAGCTTTATTGAGAGCTTCTTTCTCCACGAGGAAAAGATGAAACTCTTGATCAATCTTCATGTTTAAGCTTCCGAAGAACTCACGGACTTCAATATGCAAAGGCTGACACTCATCGGTATCCATGACCGCACATTCCATACATTGTCGACATAGCCACCGTTCATCTGCAAGCATTACATACTTGGTTCCACAAGACTGCAAAAACAACCATTTCAAGTTAAAAAAACCAGAGAGCTTCTTCTATAATATATATTGTTGGAAATTAAAATACCTCTAATCTTTCACAGCTGCAACACTTGGCAGTTCCATCAAATTCGTGACAAGGACAGTATTTCTCCTTCCAGAACGGATGCTCCTTGTACTCTCTACCTTTTTCAGTTATAGGAATCTGCAAAGAAATATATATATATATTTACATTTACATTTGACAAGTCTTTATATATATGCTACTCTCATTACAGGCCAAGTCTTTTTGATTTCATATCACAGGACATAACTATATATATATATATATATATATATTGTACCTTGTTATCGCAGACATAGCAGTTCCTATTACGGTGCTCCTTGTAGCAAGGCTTGTGAAACTGTCCTTTTGAGTTTGAAATCTAAGGAGTTTTTCATCAGAAATCAGATGTAAACAAAGTAGCAATCAATTTCAAAATAGTATACATAATGGTTTCAAACCTCGTGCATAGCAATTGGTTTGAGGCAGTGAAGGCAACATAAACATTGAGGATGCCAAACAGCACCAAAGGCATTGGCAGATATTCCATCTTTAATCGCAGACTTGCAACCGTTGCATATGCTACGAGTCAATTTAAAATGATTTGAGATTAATTAGAGAGAAAAAAGAAGACAAGAGAACAATAAATACACTTGAAGAAGCATATATATATATAAGCTTTACCTAGGAGAAGGATTCACATCACGATCTTTGGAATTCTTAATTTGTGCCTTATCTCCCACTTGATCATCATCATCTTCCACTTGCTTTCTTTTGCCTTTCTCCTTTGACTCTTCCTTTTGCTCAGCTACCTCCAAAGATTTTTCCATTGCCCTCTTGATCTGTTCTTCTTCTTCTATCTTCTGACGTACGGTGCGATCTTCTTCTTCATACCGTGAGATTTCTATGGCGGTTTTTATAGGATCCTGCTGGTTTTATCAGATTGCCAAAAACTTAAAACACATAAGCCTAGAAAGCAAAACGGACCAAAGCTTACCAACTTTTGAAGACTTAAATATATAAAGCAAACCAAATCAAGATTTTTTGTAATAACCTCAGATGAATCATGTCTAGAGGAGGGTTTGAAGCAGGAGAAGCACCCCATACTCTGAAACTCGATCACTTGTTCACCATTCAGGGGGAAAAAGGCTTAGAAAAAAAAACCCAAAGCTCTTCTTGGCTTTCCTCTAAATGGAAAGTACTTCTTCACAGTTTCCGTGAGAGTTTTCAGAAATTTCCAGAAACCTTAATTAGAGCCAAGAGCCACTTTGCTTTCATGTTTGAATTTATCGCGAGAGGGAGAGCGACAGTGAGAGACAGAGAGAGAGAGAGAGATTAGGGGAAGCAGAGGACCGAGACTTAAAACACTAGTGGCTTAGCTTTTCTTTTAAGTTTTATTTAAAAGGGAAAGCAGAGAAAACTATCTTATAAAATGACCACCATAGGTTGCAGCAACTTCATTTGGCATAGAATGCTATAAAATCAATAAAATAGAATGTTAGTTACATATGTTATATATATCCAATTAATATTAAAAATATACGCATGTTCTTTGTCGATTTGGAAAACTTATTGATTTTTGAGGTTTTTAATTAATGTAATTTTCAGTTAAAACATTTCTATCTTAATATTTCGTTTTCCCTATGAAAGTGACTGTAAACTATTTTGCATAGACAATAGTATAAGCAAGATATATTTTTCTATTCTACTAATTTTTTTTTTTTGGTTAAAATTCTATTCTACTAATTAATTAAGAAAAGTTAGAGAGAAAATAAAGGTAACAGTTTTTTGGGTACCACGTAGATTCATCCCATTTCACTCACGGTCAAGTGCTATAGTATGTTTATTTTTTCTCATTCTTGTTTATTATCATCTCAATCTTGTTTATTTTTTCTCATTCTTGTTTATTATCATTTAGAGTTTTTTTTTAAATTTTTTTGTCATATATGTGCAATAACACACAAAAAAATGTTAAATTTTGGAGTTTTTTTAATTTTCTTGCCAAGCTGTGTGTATTAACACACACACACAAGAGAATGCTAAATTTTTGAGTTTTTATTATATTTTTCTTGTCAAGATACGTGTATTAACACACATACACAAATTTAAAATTTCAATTTTTTTTTTTTTTTTTGTAAAGATGTTTGTATTAACACACACACACGAAATATGTTAAATTTGCTAATTATTAAATTTTCTTGCCAAGATGTGTGTATTAATACACACACAAGGAAATGTTATATTTTAAAGATATTTTTTAATCTTCTTGTCAAGATATGTGTATTAACACACACAGAAAAAATATTAAATTTTGAAGTTTTTTTATTTTCTTGCCAAGATTGTGTATTAACACACACACAAGAAAATTTTAAATTTTCGAGTTTTTTTAATATTTTTGTCAACATGTGTGTATTAACACACACACACACACACACACACACACATACACACATACACACAAGAAAATGTTAAATTTTTGAATTTTTAAAATTTTTTACCAAGATGTGTGTATTAACACACACAAGAAAATATTAAATATTCAAGTTTTCTTTATAATTTTCTTGTCAATATATATTAACACACACACAAGAAAACGAATCAACCAGATTACCGAGGTTCACAAGGCAAAGAGTGATGTACTAGAATGGCTTCAAGCAACCGCGTTATTAATGCCTCTCCCTCCACCACTCCCTATCAAGCATCGCTAGAGACGACCAAGCAATCACTCCTTAAAATGCAACTACGATGTTGCATTCAATCCTAGTACTGACCACAGTTCTGCTGGATGGATTGTACACAACTCAAATGGTCATTGTACCCACTGGGGATCTACTCTCACAGGCAAATCGACAGCTACAGAAGCTGAAGGGAAAGCTCTACTGAGGGCACTACAGAACGCATGGTCTATGGGTTATACAAAATTAAATTTTGAAGGAGACTGTCAAACACTCATCAACCTTCTACAGCAAAACGAGCAAGACCTCTCCATATTTAATGTTTTAGTCGATATTAGATTTTGGTTATCCAAGTTTCACACTTACGAAACAACTTATGTTAATAGAACTTCCAACCGAGCTGCTCATACTTTAGCTAAGAATTGTAGTCAGATTATTTCTGCTCCTACTGATTACTCTATCCCGCCACCTTGGCTAATCCCTATTTTGTATTTCAATAACAATCTTTCCATATAATATCATATGACTTCGACAAAAAAAAACACACACACACACACACACAAGAAAATGTTAAATTTTTGAGTTTTTTTAATCTTCTTATCAAGATATGTGTATTAATACACACACACAAAAAACTATTAAATTTTCGAGGTTCTTTCAGCAAATTTTCCCCTCAAGTTTGCAGGAAAATTGTTTTATTTTCTTGTCAAGATATGTGTATTAACACACACACACACACGAGAAAATATTAAATTTTCGAATTTGTTTTTAATTTTCTTGTCATGATAAGTATATTAACTCACACACCAAAAATGTTAAATTTATATATTTATTTAATTTTCTTGCCACATGTGTGTATTAACTCACAAACAAGAAAATGTTAAATTTTCGAGTTTTTTTTTATTTTCTGGTGAAGATATGTGTACTAATAACACACACATAAAAATGTTAAATTTTTTAATTTTTTAATTTTCTTGCCAAGATGTGTGTATTAACACACACACACAAGAAAATGTTAAATTTTTGAGTTTTTATATTATTTTTCTAGTCAAGATACGTGTATTAACCCCCACACAAAAGAAAATGTTAAATTTTCAAGTTTTTTTATATTTTTCCCAAGATGTGTGTATTAACACACACACAAGAAAATGTTATTTTTTTTTAATTTTCTTGTCAAGATATATGTATTAACACACACACAAAAATATATTATATTTTCGAGGTTTTTTTAATCTTCTTGTCAAAATATGTGTATTAACACACACACAAAAACATTAAATTTTGAATTTTTTTTTATTTCTTTGCCAAGATGTGTGTATTAACACACACACAAGAAAATGTTAAATTTTCGAGTTTCTTTCTGTGAATTTTTCCTTCTTAAGTTTGCAGGACTAATTTTTTATTTTCTTGTCAAGATGTGTGTATTAACAAACACACAATAAAATATTAAATTTTTGAGTTTTTTTTTAATTTGCTTGTAAAAAAAGTATATTAACACACACACAAGAAAATATTAAATTTTTAAGTTTTTTTTAAATTTCTTGTCAAGAAGTGTATATTATCACACACACACACAAGAAAATATTATATTTTCGAGGTTTTTTTAATCTTCTTGTCAAGATATATGTATTAACACACACATAAGAAAATGTTATATTTTTGAGGTTTTTTTAATCTTCTTGTCAAGATATGTGTATTAACACACACACACAAAAATATTAAATTTTGAATTTTTTGAATTTTCTTGTCAAGATGTGTGTATTAACACACGCACAAAAAAATATTAAATTTTCAAGTTTTTTTTATAATTTTCTTGTCAAGATATGTGTACTAACACACACACAAATATGTTAAATTTTCGAATTTTATAATTTTCATGCCTAGATGTGTGTATTAACACACACATAAAAAATGTTAGTTTTTTGAGTTTTTATTTTATTTTTTTAGTCAAGATACATGTATTAAAACAAACACAAAAAATGTTAAATTTTTAATTTTTCTTTATTTTCTTGATAAAATATGTATATTAACACACACAAAAGAAAATGTGATATTTTCGTGGTTTTTTTAATCTTCTTGTCAAGATATGTGTATTAACACACACACACACAAAATATTAAATTTTGAAGGTTTTTAATTTTCTTCCTAAGATGTGTGTATTCACACACATAATAAAAAAATGTTAAATTTCGAGTTTCTTTCTATGAATTTTTCCTTCTCAGTGTGTGTTAATATACTTTTCTTAAAAAGCAAATTAAAAAAAAATTCAAAATTTTAACATTTTCTTGTGTGTTTCTTAATACACACATCTTGATAAGAAAATAAAAAACTAGTCCTGCAAATTTAAGAAGGAAAAATTCACAGAAATAAACTCAAAAATTTAACAGTTTCTTGTGTGTGTGTGTGTTAATACACACATATTGGAAAGAAAAATTCAAAAGTTCACAAATTTAATATTTTTTGTGTGTGTGTTAATACACACATCTTGAAAAGAAAAATTGAAAAATTCACAACTTTAACATTTTTTGTGTATGTTAATACACATATCTTGATAAAAAATTAAAAAAAAACTTAAAAATTTAACATTTTCTTGTGTGTGTGTTAGTATACACTTCTTGATAAGCAAATTAAAAAAAAACTCAAAATTTAACATTTTCTTGTGTGTTTGTTAATACACACATATTGACAAGAAAATAAAAAAATTAGTCCTGCAAACTTAAGAAGGAAAAACTCACAGAAAGAAACTCGAAATTTAACATTTTTGTGTGTGTGTGTTAGGAAGAAAATTAAAAAGCTGCAAAATTTAATATTTTTTGTGTATGTGTGTTAATACACATATCTTGACAAGAAGATTAAAAAAACCAAGAAAATATAACATTTTCTTGTGTGTGTGTGTTAATACACATATCTTGGGAAGAAAATTTTAAAATTCGCAAATTTAACATTTTGTGTGTGTGTGTGTGTGTGTGTGTGTTAATACACATATCTTTGGCAAGAAAATAAAAAAAAAACTTAAAAATTTAACATTTTTGTGTTTGTGTTAATACATGTATCTTGACAAGAAAAATAAAATTAAAACTAAAAAAATTAACATTTTCTTATGTGTGTGTTAATACACACATTTTGGCAAGAAAATTATAAAACTCGGAAATTTAACATTTTTGTGTGTGTGTGTGGTAGTACACATATCTTGACAAGAAAATTAAAAAAACTTAAAAATTTAACATTTTTGTGTGTGGTAGTACAAACATCTTGGCAAGAAAATTAAAAAAAAACTCAAAAATTTAACATTTTGTATGTGTGTGTGTGTGTTAATACACATATTTTGACAAGAAAATTAAAAAAAAAACTCGAAAATATAAAATTTCTTGTGTGTGTGTTTTTACACACATCACGACAAGAAAAATTCAAAAACTCACAAATTTAACATTTTTTGTTTGTGAATACACATATATTGACAAATAAATTTAAATACTCAAAAATTTAACATTTTTTTGTGTGTTTGTTAATACACACATCTTAACAAGAAAATAAAAAAAATAATCCTGCAAACTTAGGAAGAAAAAATTCACATAAAGAAATTTATCATTTTCTTGTGTGTGTGTTAATACACACATCTTGACAAGAAAATATAAAAAATTCAAAATTTAATATTTTTTTGTATGTGTGTTAATACACATATCTTGACAAGAAGATTAAAAAAAACTCGAATATATAACATTTTTTTGTGCATGTTAGTACACACTTCTTGGCAAGAAAAATTAAAAAAAAATTACATTTTTTGTGTGTGTTAATACACATA